TAAATATTTTATTTGCACAAAGTTAATTGTGTCTCACTATTCGCGTAATATTGTTCGACTTTTTCGAAATATTCGCGAAATTTATTTATTGTTGACCGAGTATGCAAGTCTTGCTATCCGCTGCTCGCCGAATGTATTCTACAACGAGTGTCACGATTGCCGTTCGAGACTAATCGAGATTGACTGTTGAAAATAATTCTTATTAAACGAGTGTCACGGTCGCCATTGGAGACTAATGGGGATTTACGGGACACTGATATTTATTTGATAACCGTGTATGCAAGCCTTGTTGTCCGCTGCTCCCTGCTTTATGTTACAACGAGTGTCACGGTCGCCATTGGAGACTTATCGGGACTTGGTGCCGACTGTCGAATGGCTTGCAATTGATACTACTCACGGCGGCTTATTTCACTGTGACCGAACCTGTATGGGTAGGGATCCCTCCTTCGGACTTACCGATCACAGGGGCCACCGCTTTCACCGGAAAGGTCGCCAGTTCTTTTATCCTATACAAAGAACAAGGTATTGAGTGCCGCCGAGGACCCTTTGTCGCCGCCGTTCTTTGTGACGCCGCGCGCCGCCTTTGATGGTCGCCGCTGCTGCGTTGAACGTAGTCGAGTCGGGATGACGCAATCCGCGCTCGAGGCAGGTAATCCAGGTACGTACTCACTTTCTCACTTATTTCCAGGTCGACGCGAGATCTTTCACCCCTACGCGGTTAGGAAAAGTTCGAGAGAATATGACGTGGGATGCGCAATGAAGGTAAGTATGAAAAACTGTTAATGTCCAACACAATATTTATTAACGTTTTTACTGAGGACCAGTTCTTACACTTGTTTAGTCCGAACAATGCACAATTATTCCTCACGATCCTTTTCTACAATTTAACGACAGGTGTCTTTGTCCTGAGACGCGCACAAGTCGGACAAGTCACTCAATTGTTACACTACTAGCATTCATGCAACAGACTACGCGAAACTTACAGTATACTGTCCGTAATCAATAGAATTCTCGTCGCGATGTACTAAGTTTCTCGCCAAAGTACACGAACTATCACAATAATTACGCGTCGAAGTTCGCGGGACATTAAACAACGAAACGTAGGAAGTCTTTGTTAACACGCGGAACGACCGTAGTTTAGCGTTGGAAATATCCGGAGAGACTGTGTCGAGTCCGCTCGGCGTCGCGCCTTATATAGTAGTCGGGGAGTAGCGCGCCCCACTCATGGCCCGCCGGCCAATGAGGGCGCGGCGCCCCACCGCTGAGGCTCCGGCGTATCGCGGCGCTCGGGAGTAGAGTATACTCGACTAGAGTTCCCGAATTGGATTTTCGCTATGCAAAGCCGACTCAACAAGAGTTCCTATTTTTATATAATTTTACAAAAACGCTCGTGGATGATTAATACGTGCATAGACATGCTGTTAACGCTATTTACACATATTTACACCATATATACTAATATGTTTTTGTACTTTATAAATTATATATATTTTTTTTTTTTTTTTTTTTTTGGTTTTATATTAATTTTACACATACATATATATACCCTTTTTTTTATTTTTCTAGAATCATTTTATCTTATATCTAATTTTATAATTTTTAGACGTGAAATAAACTTCTATGGATTCCAAATCCTTTTAAGTTAAGGTCATCGATAGGGATCGGTTAACATAAAATAAGTTAAAATAAAATATCGCCGACTCACTTTATTTATATTTAATTCTATAAGTTTTAAACTTTTATGGATTCTAAATTCTTTTAAACTAAAATTATTGGTCGTGACCATCGCATGGACCGGTTATCACAAAATAAACTAAAATAGAATGTCACCGTTTCAATTTAGTAATATAGCAAGAACTAAAACTAAAACTTATAATAAAAAGAAATATATAATTTGCGTGCGTGATTAATTTACGGACGGGTGACATACCTTAAAACTTAATATTAACTTAACCTATGGGTAAATGTCTCTATTTTATGTAAAATAACAAAAGGAATTTATTCCGCATAGGTGGTGTTCTTGACGAGATATCGTGGATCCAACGAGTCACCCTGGGTAGTGTTTTGTGACGATTGGATCGGTAGTTGCTGCGTCTGGGGTGGCTGCGTCTGCGGGGTCTGCATCTCCGAACCGCGACCCTCTGTCGGTCGCAGGGTCAGGCCGGGCAACGCATTCACACTGTGCTCCAGGGAGAGCCCCGAGGAGTCCGGATCTCTCCGATCCGAACATCCCCGACCGAGCATCCCCCCAGAGACACCACGGCACCGCGGATGTCATTCCGGGAGGCGATTTCCTCCTCCATAGTCTCACGGATCCGGAGATCCATGGTTTTCTGGGGGCGGGAGACCACCACATCCCCGCGATCCGCGAAGACTTCGCGGATGCGACCCGCCAGGAGATCCGCCTTTTCGCCGGTGTTTCCTCCAGGGACCTGCAAGAGCAGGCCCCCAGTGGCGGCGAACCTCATGTTCAGCGGAGGAATGCCAAGTTCCTCCAGACTGATGCGCTCCCCGGCCTCCCGCAAGATCTCCGCATATGACCTCTCGTCACCGACAGAGGTCACATGCACCGCCGCTGAGTCAGGCTGCCGAAGCGGTCTCGGGACCCTTCTCTTCCGCGTAACCGGCTTCGGTCGCGGAACCTCGGCTAAACCCCCCCGGGGCCCAAGGCCCCCAGCCCCCCCAGCAGCCGAATTGGCCACAGACGGGGACGGAGACCCAACCCCCGAGAAGGAGACCACCCTCCTCACACCCCGACCCTGTCTCCCACGCACAGGCGTCGAGAGGACGGGGAAAACCTCCTTGACTGGGGGGGCAGAGGCAGACGACCCTACCCCCTTCCCCCGGGAAACCAAGGAGGACCTGAGGGACTCCACAGTCCTCCTCAGGCCCTCAACCGCCTCGGTGATGCAACTCCCAATGAGGAGATCCACCCGCGCTAGAAGCTGCTGGTGTGGATCCCCCCCCGAAGCCGCATCAGAGGAGGACTCAAACAGAGTCCTCCGCACCTCAGAGGTGGTCTCCTTGCCAGAAAGTTCCGGCTCAGAGACCACCTCTCTGTCCCGCCTCCGCCGCGATCTTTTCTTCGCGGGGGGCGCTTCCTTCTCCCCAGAAGAGGGAGGAAGGGGAGCCACCGCACCGCGCACCGCCTCCAGCTCCTCACAGAGCTTCCGGTTGCTGGCCTCCAGTTCGCTGACGCGCTCCTTCAGCCTCCGGATCTCCACCTCGTGAGTCGCTTCTTCTCTGAGGAGCGCGCACTCCCCAGCCGACACAGACTCCGGGGTCTCCTTGTCCTGAGGATCATCGCCTCCGAACTCCTCCGTTTCCCTCTCTTGGGCCCGGAGGGCAGACGGCGGACCCTCAGTTCCGCACGTGGGACACTTTGGGACAAAATCCCAGCGTACTCCCCCGCACCAACACTTGGTAGTGTGCCTCTCACTATGATCGAGGAGCACCCGGTACTCTTCCATCTCACAACACTTGGAATCGACCCGCCCAAGCAGTCTCCTGACGTACTTGGGTCGATTCCCTCGTCCTGAACCATAAGGCCCTCATGAGCCCTACGGATCCGCTTGAGGTCCTTCCTCGGCACTGTCGCTGTCCAGTCCGCAGCCCCAGCCGGCAAAACTGCGGACGACCTGTCGTCTGATGACGACATGGAAGGAGCCAGGCCTGCACCCCCCCCCCCCACGCCGGTTCCCGGTACCCGAACCTGGGACGTTCGCTTCTTTATTAGTCTCCATCATATCTGTGATAAAGAAATTGGTTTTTTCTGTCAGGGGTTTTTCTTCCCCTTAGGAGGTTGCCTTACTCAGCTAACGGGGCCTCCCCCCGGGTGTTATGTCAGTGTTTTCCTTTACCTAGTGCAGTGGACAAGTTCTTTTTAGGGTCTGCACACCCATCACTCCTCGTTCATCCATCGCCACACACTCCAGCTCGGGTACCTCGGGATTGCGACACCCGTACACTACGGGGATGAGTCCGTAGTGACCCTGAGGGAAACCTTTTTTTTTTTTTTTAGAGTCAAGAAATTTGCCTAAACCAAACTTTGCGTCCTGACCCTTGAGGGAGGGCCAGGAGGCTTTGTGGTGGATTCCCGCCCGTAGTATCCCGAAGGACTATCGGACGGGGTACCGACCTAAAACCTGACTATAGCCCCTGGTCGTTAACGGGTATTGTCCACCGCGGAACCGCTAACATATTACTTACGGTGGACACCCATGACCTGATCCTGTAAAGGACACATCCCGGGCAGCAATCGCTGACCCGTCCAATGTCCTCACCCAGAGAGGGTAAAGAGAAGTGAGCCGGGCTATCAGCTCACCCCCGACCATCCCGAGGCCAACGTGCAATGGAATTGGAGCCCCCACTCCTCTTCCTGCCGGCCTGGTTGGCGAGGTGACCGCAGTCACCAAACCCCACATGAATTGACGTCACAGGACATCACAAACTCGACGTGTACATATACACAACCACAATAAAACCAACTAGGGGCCACAGGCCCAGCTCCTAAAGAGCCCATATTATGGCGCAAAGGCCATCCACAGATAAGGGCACTATGGCCGACCACAAATAAGAGGGTGGAAAGATGGACATCCACCCTAAATGTGTACAAATGCACAACACAAATATTAACTTGGCGGGAGCGAGGAGTACGCGGAGCTGCCTCACGACAACCTCCCCGAAACCCCCGCAACCCACCGCTACCTACTAAACATAGAAACGGACTAAGGACAGAGGGCGTAACCGGGCCAAAGGTCCCCATTTTACTGGGGAGCAGTAAGGCCGCAGCCCTCATAACATTAGACAAAAATACTAATCCGACATTAACTCCGTTGGGGCACAGGAGGATGCAACGGACACACTCCTTGGCACACTCCGTCGCCCCTCCGCAATCCCCGACGGGCTCGCCACTGGACTGGGGACTCTCTCCTCGGTCCCTCCGTCAGGGCGCCCTGGAGTCTGCCTACGCTTGGAGGGGGCAGACTCCCTACCGCCGACTAATTTGCGAGGGGCACGTGCCTCTTCGCACATGCGCTGAACCCTGCGCGATGATTCGCCGGCTTTCCGCTGATGCCGCAGGAGACACAATGGGGCGGCGCCTCGCATCTAGCTGCCAAATGCCCCACTTTACCGCACCTAAAACAGCAATTACTGCGATCAACCTCAGAGCCACACCTATTGGACGAGTGTCCAAAGACATGGCATCTGAAACACTGGATGGGTCGACGGGCCAACGGAGTAACCGTCAGCCTCGTCCACCCCACACCAATGCTGCCCCGAGTCCCTACTTTACGAGCAGCAACCGCCGGACACCGGAGCCAAAGAGATCCAATCCTGCATTTAGGGGAGCCACGGATCTCCCCCGCCTTCAGGTCAGCAACACTGCATTCTCCTGATGCAGCCACAGCTGCTAAGATTTCCTCCCTACCCATGTAGGGCAGTATCTCCCGCACTCGCATCTCCTCCATACGAGAGGGGCGGCCAACCCTTACGCCACTATCAGGCGGGAACAATCTACGGAGTTCGCTCGACAGGGCATCCGCCTTACAGTCGGAGTTCCCTCCAGGGATGGACACCAGGATGCTTCCCGTGACACCCCGGCGCAAACGGGTGCCAGCAATCCCAAGGCTGGTCAGGTCCACCTCCTTCATGGCCTTGATAGGACCGATGCGTACGTCTCCTCCCCCCCTCCCCTTCAACCGTCAGCGAAACCACCGACTTAGAGGGGAGCTTGACGGGAGGACGGATCCGCTTCTCCCCCTGGGCAGAATTGCCCAAAGGAGCAGAAACATCTTTAGAGGAGGCACGTCTAGGCTCACGCCTACGACGTCGCCTCCCACCCCTCTTGGAGGACCCGGGGCCAGGGACATCCCCGGAACCTCCGCAGAAGCGGAAGCGGCGGAGCTTCCAGCCACGGGACCAGGCCCCGGCACAGAAATACTATCACCTGAGCTCGCTAAGGGCGCACTCATGGAAACCCCTCCAGTTGGAGGGCCCCAGACCGCCCCGCAAGCAAGGACCTAACATTGGTCAAAACCGCTGACGCAATGTCGACTCTCAGTTCGGCAAGCCTCCTATCCAGAATTGCCGAGAGGTCCGCAACCGTCAAAGGATGCGATCTCGGCAACACCTCTTCTCGTTCCGCCACGTTCGATGTGGATTCCGGAGAAGACATCGCTCGCTTCCTCTTCTTTGGAGCCTTCTCTAGGACCTTACAGAAGGCCTCCTCCTCCAACTGCGGGAGAACAGCCCGAACAGCAGCCATCTCACCGGCCACTCTATCGCGCTCCCGCTCGAGAGCCGAGATCCTGTTCTAAGCCCCAGATTTTCGCTCCAAAGAGCTTAATCTGGGGGTCCGCCTCGAGGACAATACGTCCCTCCATCTCGTGGAAAATGTTCCCTAGTCTCATTGAAGATATCCGAGATCCCTGGCCACGATCGGATCGAGACCAGTAACCTCGGACACCTTCACTTGGGAAGCGGACGTCTCAGCCAACTGCGAAGCTCCTGGTTGGTCACGTTCTGCAGGCTGGCTCGGAAAACTTCATCCGACGGTAGTTTTTCCACACTACCGCGGACAGTTCCGGGCCAAGATCTGGGTCTATGACCCTGCGAATGTCCGCAAGTTGGAGCTCCCGCTCCACCGCTCTGTTTAGGCGCTCCTTAGCCTCGGCCAGCCCAGCGTAATCCCCGATTTTTTTTGGGGCGACCCCGCGTTTCAGTACGCGCTTTCAACTTACACTGATCCCCTGACTGGGTACTGTT